GGAGGTCTAGAATGATGTTAGTAACTGTTCTCGAATAAAAAAAGGGAAAGCATAAAGGAAAAAAAAAAAAAAAAAAAAAAGAAATACAAGAAATAAAACAGATGTAAGTTACCCTATTTATTGCTTTGCTTAATGTAAATCTTGGAAAACATAAAAATCAGGACCCCAGTCAGCTAACTTCAATGACTGCTTTGTAATGAAAATCATATCTTAGGAACTGTGTTTATAAAAAATTATGAACGCTAAATGAAAATTCAACATACTTTAGCACAGCTTAAGAGAATAGTCATGTTTTATTTGACTGAGAATAGTCTATGACTATTCTTAAGAGACTAGTCATGTTTTATTTATTTATTTTATTTGCCTGACTTTGCACAAAGGGTCAGAAAGCCCATTTGTGCACGTGCTGTACCTATGAGAGGATCTAAGCCCTGGAGCAGCCCCAGACTCCTCTGGAACTTCTCTTAGAATCTGCTATGCTTATTACGCTCCTGCTAAGCCTGAGTCTCACTGGCTCTTTCCTCATTATCACAGAGTGACCTGGCCATTTACTATCTCTGAGTCCTTGTAAGGTACTTGACTTAACTGGGCTAATCATACCTACCTCACACAGTTATTTTAAGAAATAAAGGAGAGGATATGTTTAAAGCACCTAATACACAACATGGCTGGCACACAGTGGGCATTTAGTAACTGTTAGTTCTCTTCTCAAGTCCTGGATTTGGGTCCTAGTGCTGAATTAGACACCCAATTACCCAAGACGCTCACATGGCAAGACCATGCACAAGGTGGTGATGGTGCTTGGTCAAAATCCAGACAGGAAAGGCCTATCATTATGTTTTCTGACAAGATTTGTCATCTCAGGCTGTGCCAAGACTTAGGTAACTCATAAACTCTCATGGTCAACAGAAATAATCAAAGATAAGCCTATTGTTTCATTGAGATTTATGATTCTCACATTTTCAAAAAAGAATATCTCTTCTGCTTACTTCTGTCTCATTGATGAAGTAGGACTAAATTGTCTTGGAGATGTCATTCAGGAACATATTCAAAAACCCACGTGGGCATGAATAATAATGTTTGATGTTAAATAGAAAGCCCCTTAACATAACTGCAGAATTCAAGGTAAAAATTTCTCCTCCTGTCTTTAGAAAAACCACAGGATTAAAAAAGACAATTCTGCTCTAAAATTATAGATTATTTAGAAAAATGCTATCAAGTATTTGAACTCTTTTACTTATTGTTCAGTAGGCTAAACGTGCTAGCAGCCTAGTGTGAACTCTACTTTATTGCTCCTTTTCTATGGGAAATTTGGTCATAGTTCCCCAATTTATAAAACAAAAATATCAATATCAAACATGTATAAAATGTAAAAGTAACCAAATGATTGTGTGTAGCAATTTCAATCTGCACGTGTTAAGGGTGGAGGCTGGAGCTTTATTCCCTAGGCATAACTATGTATAAATTCTACATAAAGCAGTTATAATATGTATGCTAAAATTTAAAATAAATCTCTCTCTCTTTTTTTTGAAGGAAAGGTTTTGGGAAAAGTATTTTTAGAAAATCTTTTGTTTGGGGAAAAGAAGACAATTTCAGAAATAACAGGTGGTCTTGCCAGAATAAGGCTATGGGCCCTGCATAACTGAATAGAGTTTAGAGATATAATACAGAACTTCAAACAGGAAGTTTCTTAGTGGCAGAGAAATATCCAAACAAACTGGGAAAACAGAAACTGACCTAACTCATTTGGAAATGGGCTTGGCAGCTGACGAAATAGATGAACTATAATTAAGTAATGCAATAAAGGAGGTAAGCACTTTCATGACAACACAAACACACACAACACACACACTGGTAGGTAGTAACCAGGTTATTCATAGGCTCTTGCTGTCTCAAATTAGAATACTCAACGAGACACCCAGAACAGACATGTGCATTGTTTAGATGCAATCTTACATGTGAGAGAAAAAAAGTGCTAAGTTATTCTGACCTCGAGGTTAATTTCTAACTCTAGGAAGACTGTCACCTTTCTAATTTAATTCTTTTCAAAACAAAGACAGCAAAGCCACATTGTTTACTAAGACTCTTCTAGCAAGTAGCTCAGTTTTGGCAGAAACTACATATCTTGTTTCCACTTGTGTTCCTGGACTTAGACTTGTAAGTTTCAACTATGCATAATATGCATTTCATTAGGTCTCTCAACCGCTGAGATAAAGTGTGTCAAAATAATAATTTAACAGTCACATCCTTCACAGGTAGAGTTAGAGTGTCTCGGGAATTAGCCTCATTCCAACTCCAGGGAGAATATGAAACTGGTGGTAACTTTTATTTTCTTATTAAGATATTCATACTCTTTCAAATTCCTTAAACTGAAGTGTAAGGAATTAGAAAGAAGTGATTGTTTTTCAAACTGAAAGACTATTTAGAAAAAATTTTCCTTGCCCACTAGAACTAAATCATCTTAAATAGAAAGACTGGCATTAAAATACCTTCAGCGATCATAGGCGTCGGGGTGCAGTGCAATTAGCAGCAAGTGCAGAGTGCTTTCTCCAGAGCCTGCTTGGAAGGCTGCAGGGGAAAACGGAAGCAGCAGGTGTAGGGGCGAAGGGCGGTGGGGAGCACCATGACTTACCCACGCCCTTCTGCTCCAGGTACCCTCCACCAGTGTTTCATTTCTGTTGCGTTTGGAGCTCAGCCAGCTGGCACTGGCGCATACCAGCTCCCCCAGGAAAGCTAAACCAAGATAAATTATAGTGCAAGACAGAGGAGTGAGCTTTTTCCCCCACAAAAAAAAAAAAAAAAAAAAAAAATTTCTTATGTTTGGGTCTAGTTTCTATTCTCCACTCTCCAACAAAAAGGAGCAAGACATGAAATGTCAACAGTGCGTTCCAGGACTTTAGATTTCTAGGACAAGCAACTTAAAACAAACAAACAAACTTTTCGACCATTTTTATTTTGCTTGATGAGGAGATATTTTAATTCATGCATAACATATATGCCAATAATTAATTCACCAACAAAAGGCATTTTAACATGGATCCCCCGTCCCCACCCCCAGTCCCACTATAGGGAAAGACAGACTCACATAACAAGACATAATTTTAAATGAAGCACACTTGAACCCGGAGACAATTCCGTACGTGTCTAATGACAAATGCACAGGAGCCTTCCTTATTTGTCTCCTCTTTGGAGAGGCGGGAAGCCGGAGCGGGAGAGCTTACCCAGGCAGAGGAGCAGCGCGGGGACCCTGACAGCACAGAGCCTCTCCATCCTCCTCCCCGCGGGCGGCGGCGACGGGCGCGGGCGCTGGGGCTGGGCCGGGGGCGGGAGCGGACGGGCTCGTGGCAGTGGCTGGAGCGGCGGAGAGCCTGGAGCGGGCCACACTGCCGTGTCCCTCTGACACTGGAACTATCAGGCAAGTGAACTCAACTGTCCGGTGTTGCGAACTTTATACTGTTCTCTGGAGCCCCTCCCGGGCCCTAACGGGGTGAGGTCAAGAGTGCCCAGAGTTTCATAATTGGCCCGAGGAGGAGTGACAGGAGGACCGTCCGGAAGTCATCCTCCCTTTTTGGAGCACTTGAGTGTAGTGGCTGAGGAGTGAAAAAATGTCCTTCTGATTGGCCTGGGACTACTCCCCAAACTTTTCCACCTCCTTCTCGGAGGTGGGGAGCATGGACTAGACGGGTGGGTTTGCTTTGTGGGGTCACCTGCCCTGTAGTGGGTGGTTTTGGTTGCTCAGGGTGACAGACATAACTTGAATCAGGCTTTCAGCTGAGGCTGGCGTTCCCAGTACGGAGCTTTTAGAGAGCTGTGTTTGTGACTTACTAACCTCAGCCACAAAAACTCCCATACTTGAAGTCTGTCAGTGATTCAAGCATTTAAACGCCACCACCCAGAAATGCCTTTCCCATCTCTGCCTTCCTTCTGAGACCCCTGCTTCTCATGTGGCTCAAGCATTTACCACCTCAAAGTTGAGTCCTTGTGAAGAAAATCCCTGTTATTTTTGTTTTCTTCTGTTGTATTTGCAATCTATCAGGTTGCTGCTTTTGATATAACTTCCTCCTAAATAGTGTCTTCATCCTGTCATTCCTTTGTACAAAACCTTTCAATGACTTCCCATTACGTTTTGGACAAGGCCTGCCACAGCTCCCACTACTTCCCTAGGCAACTTGCCTGATCCCAGCAAGGCTGGAAAACTCTCTAAGCCTTTGCTCACTCCCACTTTCATGCCTAGGCTGATGGAGTCATACTTTGAGGGAATGGCCACTTTTTAACAGAATTAGTCACATCCTGCTCAAATTCATGGTTCTCCTCAAGGGCCTAGGCTTCTTGGGCTTATGGATCCCTTTTTATTCTGATCTCTTACAGCTTCTGTCATTTATCTTCTCCTAGCCTCACAGAAGTCTAGGCCTGGTACTTTACACCTGGAAAGCTACTTTGTATTACTTAACTGTTTTTGTTTTCAAGTCCTATGTTCAGCTCTGTACTGTGTAAATTGTCTGTCTTTTTACTGCATTCCCCTGTAGGACCTAAGAACTATGAATCAATTCAGCAGTACTCATTTGAATGGGAATAGTACATACTTGAATAGAAAATGGTATCTACTGGATGGTAAGTAAATTCTTACTGCATTCCCCTGTAGGACCTAAGAACTGTGAGTCAATTCTACAGTACTCATTTAAATGTAAGTAGTATATATTTGCATAGAAAATGGAATCTAATGGATATTAACTCCTTACCTTTCTATTTCTACTTTTTAAAAAATTACTATTGCCATTCCTCTTTTTTGTTTCTGGCTTTTTTCTCCCTTACCCTAAGGCCCTTTAATGTCCACAACGCTCCCGTTAGTAACAAATACTTCATCATTTTTTCAGGGGTTAAGATTTAAACTGTCTTCCTGTGAATTCCTGGACAAGTTACTTAATCTGTCTCAATTTCCTCATATGTAAAATGGGAATAATAATAGTATCCAACTCACAAGAAAATAATGAAAGTGCTTAGTACAGCGCCTAGTACAGAGTTAGTGCTCACTAAAAATACGTACCATTATATGCAAATGTTGATGCTTAGGATGGTGGTACTTGGTAGTTGGTCAATATTTGTGAGTTAAATGAATCAGTGAACAGTAAGATAGATGGAGGTAGGCTGGATTCCTAAGTCTAGCTTCCTAATCTATCAAGAAAGCAGGCACTGAGTGACTTCTCACTTAATTGCTTTTTAGGAAAAGAAGAAATGAAACCAAGGAAGATGATATTAGAAATGGGTTATAGCTTTGGTAGGGATCCCAACTTTCATAAATTAGAATGGGAAAAAGTGACTTTTATGGTTACATAATGGCTTTGGTCCTACAAATTGAATCTGGAAAAAAAAATAGTCCCAGTGGTTGAGGAATGAAAGCAGAATTCAAATGAATGGAGTGTCAACTGGGAGCATTTTCTTGCAAAGAGTGAGAGCAAGAGATTTTAATCCTGATTAATGTCTTGTTTCTTTAAATATAATGTGTTTTATGCTGAAAAGAAAGATGGTAGGGATGCGATGGGGAGAATGGGGTCATGCTGACAATAATTGACAACAGTCACCTCTGTGGTATTGATATGTGAAGAGGAATTTTTTCACTTTGTAACTGATGCCTGCCAGCATGAGATATCATCACTGTGAAAAAAATCCTTGTGCTTGTCTCAAAATTTTCCACAGCAATGTGCTCTTCTGTGGGCTGATTTTATATGATGTGAAGAAATCTTTTATTTATTGGTTCTATGTTTACTCAATTTTCTAGCCATTAGATTTCGAGAATGACTCCACCATGACACATCAGAGGATTTGCACTGCCTCCGCAAAATAGTATTCTTCGTCTTTTTTTTTTTAATAATTGGTAACAATTTTCATTAATTGTTCATTTAAATATATATACATAGTATGAGGTATAATCATAATTCTTCTTAAAGGCACAAAGCTTATTTAAAGATAGAATAGTTTGGGAAGAAAATAACCAAGTCATAGAATTTTCCAACTAGGAAGTGACTTTAATACATGAGCAACGTCAGCAATTCCCAGTTTAAGACATACTAGGATTCCTTTCTAAGGGGTTGGTAAATCTAAATATTATGTATAGACTAAAAACACACATATTTGTATAAATCTTCTTTTAAACATACATTAAGCCTCTATAGTAATTAGTAACATGTATTCATTTTAAGTTGATACTGAGTTCATAAAGGCTGTGGGCCATGTGTTTTTTAACTGATATAGGGCAAACATGTAAGCAGTGTTAAATGAGGAAGAGGAATCCTGCAGAAAATAATTCTTTTAAATTAAAAGAGATTCCTCTCATGAGAAAAATTAGGAAATCCTAGACTGGGAGCACACACACAGGCTCTAAACTGATATCAGTATTAAACCTATTGTAGACTGCAATCAGTTGAAGCCGTGGGCCTTACCCATAGAGCCAGCGTTTAGCAACATACAAGGACATATAACACCTTACAATTCTTCCAACTCTTTCTTTTTCTGTCAAGTTGTTATTTCTTCTGACTATAACTGGCACTTGTTTATTATGAAATTACTGCTTTTCTAATTTAAAAAAAGAGCATAGCTACTTTCCTGAATTAGTTTTTACATAACACAAAAGTTTCAAGTCGTTTATTAGTCCTTAGCAAAAACCACTGAGATAAAATGGTATTGGATTGCCTTTTTACAATTAAGGAATTGAAAAACTTAGGAAAGTGTTCAAGATCAAATTGTTTCATTTAATATTTTTAAAAGACCTTAAATATGAATTCTGTTCTAGAAGATGCTAATTTTTTATTGATGTTATCATAAATTTAATTGCGTGTTCACCATATGGGATCCTTTTAGCAAGCTCCATTTAATGACGAATTTATGCCTTTTATGATCATTTTTTTTGAGACGAAGTTTTGCTCTTGTTGCCCAGTCTTAAGTGCAATAGCACAATCTTGGCTCATCACAACCTCCCACTTTGGGTTCCAGTGATTCTCCTGCCTCAGCCTCCCAAGTAGCTGTAATTGTAGGCACACACCCTAATGCTCAGTTGATTTTGCATTTTTAGTAGAGGCGGTGTTTCACCATGTTAAGCAGGCTGGTTTCGAACTCCCAACCTCAGATGATCCACCTGCCTCAGCCTCCCAAACTGCTGGGATTACAGGCATGAGCCACTGTACCAGGTCAGTAATAGCATTTTTATAGAGATATACATAGATATAGACAGGTAAAATTCTGAACCCGAAAAACAATCCAGTTAGAGACAAAATAGAGAAAAGGAAGGGACATATATTGAATGTAGTAAATACTCTTCTTTACTTAAATAGTTTTTATCATAGATTTTTTAAAAAATATTTTTCCTGTGGACTAATCCATTCTTCAATTGGTTTAATAACTCAAAAAGAAAATGATCTTGTTTTTCTTTCAATATATAATTAGATGTAGAAGAAAACAAGAACTAAGAAAGTTTTAAAGTTTACTAAAATCCAAATCACATTTTCTTCTTAACTTGATAATTCGAGAGTTTTTCTGAAATTAAAAATTATCCAACACGTTTAAAAATTCACATACCATTTGAGTGTTGAGTGAATGATATGGATGGCAAATTAGCCAATAGCTGATTAGATAAGAGAATTCATTAAAATACAATTTATTCTATTTGTGGTTTCATTGAGATTCAAAACTATAGGTGGAAAGGAACATGGAAGTAATCAATACTTCTTCTTAAATCTAAATGACACATGACAAGTAATAAGAGTAACAGCAGCAAATATTTCTACCTGATGCTTATAACTCACTAAGAGGTTCAAGATATATTTGCTGGCCAGATGCTGTGGCTTATGACTATCATCTCAGCTATTTGGGAGGCTGAGGCAGGAGGACTTCTTGAGCTCAGGAATTTGATACTAGCCTGGGCAACATAGTGAGACTTTGCCTCTACAAAAAATTAAAATTAAAAAAATTAGCCAGAAAAGTGGCACATGTCTGTCGTCCCAGCTGCTTGAACGCTGAGGTGTGAGGACCACTTGAGCCCAGGAGGTCAAGGTTACAGTGAGCCATGATTACACTATTACACTCTAGTCTGGACAACAGAGTAAGACCCTGTCTCATAAAGGTAAAATAAAACGAAATATAAATATATCTGCTTATTTATTCCTCAAAATAGCCCTATGAAATAAGTACTCTTTTATTTCCATTTTATAGATTAAAGCACAAAAGATTAAGAAATTTGTTCAAGGTTCTTTAGCTCATAAATTGCAGAGATGGGATTCAAAACAGGCAGCCTGACAACAGCATCTGTAGTCTTTGCCATCATATTCTATTGCTTTAACCTGTAGCATTTAGTGCACCTAAAGTTCAGAGTTTGTTATACATACGATACTCTCAGTTTTTAAATTAAAATCCATGTTTCTGGAGTTTTTTAGTCTCAGGTTACTTGCAAAGAACATTCATATCCCTTTGCAGATAGTTTTTATTTATTTTTCTTAAAAAGAAATTTATATGTTGTTGTCTTTTCATCAGAAAATCATGTTTGCCAGTCTTTCAGTTTCCATCTCTAAAGCATTTGCTAATATTACTTTTTTATTGTTCATTGTGTTTATGAAAAACATTTTATTCTAAAAATTGCACATTTAAAATCCCACCCATGAATTTCAACATAATTTTCTAGAAAATGATTCAATAATCACAAAACATTAAAAGGCCAGATAGTATGTGATTTTAGGAACCTAGCTGATTCTCAAGCTGCTTCTTGTTATACTTGCCGTGAGTTGTTCCCTAATAATAGAACCTCCCCTTCAGTCACTTATGTAAACCCACACAACAGTAATTTGTACACATAGCGATGATGAATTAGGAATGCAGCTACACCTATTTAAAGGACTGCTTTTTCATGTTCCATGTTTAGCTAACACCTAGTTGCATATAATTGTATGTTTCCTACTCCTTAAGCAACATTTAACAGTTAAAATGCTAACTTTCATGAAGCCATTCATTCAACATTTTATGTCTCATGCACCTACAAGACAGCCATATATGCACATATTTAATTCAAGGAAATTTTCATTTTACTTGTCAATCATTTGCATGATTATTTCATGATCATATGTAGATTTGTGTGGTTTTACAAATATTATATTAATGTTCTTCTTAGATGTAGGAATAGAATAAAACATAGCAGGCCGGGTGCGGTGCCTCACGCCTGTAATCCTAGCACTTTGGGAGGCTGAGGCGGCTGGATAACGAGGTCAAGAGATTGAGACCATCCTGGCCAACATGGCGAAACCCTGTCTCTACTAAAATTACAAAAATCAGCAGGGTGTGGTGGTGCCCACTTGTAGTCCCAGCTACTCAGAAGGCTGAGGTAGGAGAATCCCTTGAGCCTGGAGGCAGATGTTGCAGTGACCAAGATCATGCCACTGCATTTCAGCCTGGTAACAAAAAAAAAAAGAAAAAATATTTCAAGTTTAAATATCTACTTTTTGTTTTTTTTTTTTTTTTTTGAGACAGAGTCTGGCTCTGTTGCCCAGGCTGGAGTGCAGTGTCACGATCTCGGCTCACTGCAACCTCCGCCTCCCGGGTTCAAACAGTTCTCCTGCCTCAGTCTCCCAGGAAGCTGGGATTACACATGCCTGCCACCATGCCCAACTAATGTTTTGTATTTTTAGTAGGGATGGGGTTTCACTGTGTTGGCCAGGCTGGTCTTGAACTCCTGACCTCGTGATCTGCCCATCTTGCCCTCCCAAACTGCTGGGATTATAGGCGTGAGCCACCATACCTGGCAATCTTCTTGTCTTTCAGTCTTCTTGAAGATATCATCTAAGACTCAACAGGCAGTACCTAATTTATGCAGACCCAGGAGGTAAAACACATAGAAGACTGAGTGCAATGCCACAAAACCTCCAAGAATTTTTTCATGATTAATATGTTTTTCTCTGTTTATCACTACCACTAACAGACAGTAAAACATTGCTAGTGAAGGCAATAAAACAATAGCTATTAAAGTCTTTATTACTCATAATATATATTTGAACTTAAATACCCCCTAATAAAATTACACTTAAATAAGATTATATCTTCTAGGAGATCTTACTTTGTAAGGATTATTTGTGTAAATTATTAAAATTTTATTGTCAGGCTTGCTGGACTCTGGTTCTCACCTGTGGATGCATTTTTAAACCATTTAGTCAGCTTTGAAAAAGATATAATTATATCTGGGCCTTACGTTTCCAGGGATTCCAATTCATTTGGTCCAGAAAGAATCCCAAATCAATGTAACTTTACAGGCAAACAGTTTTAGTCTTAACTAAAACATGTAAAGAGAAAGAATATTGAACTCCACATTCTAGTTTCAAGCTCCAGGCCTGACTGAAAATAAATTGTTATCTGCTCTTGTGTAGATTATAACTTGTTTGGGTTAGACACTTCTCATCCTTAAAATGCAGGCTTGAACTACATGATCTCTAATCATATAGCTTTCTTAGTACCATCTTAAGAAGGTAGAACCACAATTTTATTATCTCTTGACCAGTATGTGCCTTAGGCAACCTCAGGCAAGTGTGCAAAGTTATTGGCTAAAATACTCTAGAGTGGTAGCACAGATAATATCCTCAGGATATGGAAATGTTATATATTTTATGAACAGGTTTCTCTGGTTTTCTAAAATCTGACTTCATCTCTCCTAAGATTTTTGCTTAGGCTTTTCCCCCTCCTTTTTTTAACCTTCCTCCCTTTGCTTGAAACATATGAATCATGAATTCCACAAAACACAATATGGGGATTTAGGAGCTAGAAAATCCAGATCCTGCTGAGGATTAAGAAGCCAATCTTGTTATATGACCCAAAGCACATTTATGAAGACAGTTTTACTTTTTCTGATGGGAGAAAAGTATATAAATTGAATATTCTAAAAACCAAAAAAGAAAATAATCAGTTAAGCCAAAAAGACACCAAATTAATAGTTAGAAGTCCTAGGTTTCAGTCCTGGCTCTGACCATTTCTAAGTCCCTTGACCTTATGATATTGAAACTATACTAGCCTCATCTCTACTACTTGCAAGTAATTGCTCCTGTCCTTCATGGGACTCAAATAAGATTATGTTTAATAAAAAGAATGAGACAAAACTGTAAGACATAATTATTAACAATAATACACATTAGGTGTTTACTTAGTGCCAGGAGACACAAAAGAGTTCAAAATCGTAAGAGAGTAATCATGACAGTGCCGGATTTTCAAAGAAAAAGGAGGTGGGTGTTTCCAAGAGGAAGCATAGGCACCAATAGCAGGTGAAACAATGACGTCAAAACAATAGGAATGAAGGAAAAGATCTGGCAGTAATGAGGTCACCAGTCACCTTTCAGGAGAAAGTTCAGAAGCATAGAGAGGAGAGAAGTCAAATTACAGAGGTATGAAATCATATATTTCTTCTGATTCCAAATAATCTATAAGTGGGGATGGGTATCAATGAGCTCCAGAATGAGGACATTTTTAACCTGTCCTCTCATAAGTTGTCAAAGTGTAAGTGTAAAACTCAGGTAATAGAGATAAATCATTCTTCTATGTGGGCCTTTGTCTAACCTGCAATATATTCAAACGAATGGGATAGAAAAGCGACTTATGGTGAATTTTACTATAACATGTCTACTTACATTTTTCTATTTAATTTGGAAGAAACATCCAAAATAATTTTCTTTAATACTACATAACTCTTATAAACATTATTACTACTTAAGGAAAGTATTCTTGCACATTGCAATAGTAATATTAGGAACAAAGTAATTCTCTAAAATACTATACTTAATATTACATTCAATCCTTATTTAAATTTATTGATCTTGCTTCTTATTCCTTTCCCTTCTACCCCAATTTTTTGGGAAAAACTTTTATCTTCAGTGAGGGTTAAAAACTGAGTCTGAGAAATAAATATGGGCCAATGTGCTCAATGTTAACATAGTGCTGTGGAACTTGGACTGATTTGGACCTCAGAATGGAAGATCAGAAGAATGATGAAATGAAAGAAAAACATTCTTAAGGCTTCTAGATGCTACGTTCAAGTGACTGTGGCTTGCTTCAGCTGTAAATCCAGCATCAGAATTCCTCAAAACTCTTGTCATCTCATCAACCAACCCCACAAACTCCCTGGAACACCATTAATTTTCCTTCTTCTATAGAGACACCTTCCAAAACACACTTACATATAAAATCCAGTTATCTTTCTACCTTTTGTACCAGAAGAAATAATACTTTAGATCTGTTCTTTCTGGCTTAGTGCAACTATATTCTTTAAAGTATATAAAAAATGAAGTTAAATGAAACTCCAGATCTCACCAACAGAATAGCTAAGTTTTATATAACGCTTGAGCCAATTGCCTAGAGACCATCTGTGTCCTACCTAGATGACAAGGTATGTCTTTGGACTTGGAAAACATATATCTCATATATTATGGGTCTCCAAAACAAATGGTTGTTCATTTATAGCTACCCTTTTCTTTATAGATACCTAAAATGCCAGTATTGTTGTGAACATTATGGCACTCAGAGATGAAACTTTCTGCTCTTTGTTAAGATATCTGCTGTACCGAGGTCTCTGGAAGCTCTGCGAAATCCTTAACCTTCCAAAATTGCAGGTCAGTAAAATATGTCAAACTCAATAGTGCAACAAGAAGGTAGGAATGGTTCTTGATGTTAGAGGGTAAATTTGAGGGTTGAAGCCTTGGGGTTATGTAACATTTCCACAAATGTGACTTTTGAATTCAAAATATTTTTATGACACTTGAGCTCTAGTTAATTGGTACTTTTGCTTACTTCTTGTGCTGGTCAACTCTCAAATTAGTCTCTACTTAAATACCACTTCCTCCAGAAATTTTCCCTGATCTTCCTGGACCATATTAGGTTCCCTGAGTGATAACCTTGCTTTACATTACATTTTGAACTTATCCTATTATAAAACTTATCACTTCTTCATACATTTTTTTCTTTGCTTCTTCCATTAAAAAGTAAGCTCTAGAAGAAAGATATCATTCCTTTTTTATTTATTTTATATTCTTGGTACTTAACATGGTATCTGACACGCAACACATGCTCAATAAATATTTGGTAAATAAATTAATTTGTAAATATCTATTGACCTCACTAATCAATTTGTGCCATACAATAAATATATAAATGAAAAACAGTAATTTTGGAGGCATTATTTAAGTACCATGTAAAGAAAGTAAGCTGAGAAATATCTTTTAGGAGTACTTTTGCTCTTAAATCAGAACAGCTTAAGATATTCTTAAGTATAGTAGCTTTTTTATATCCTTTGACTTTTTTTATATATTAACTCATTTACCATATTGTTCTTCATTGCCATTACTTAAAAATAAGACTCCTTCTTTTTGGCTCCTCTGCGTGTATTCTTTATTGACTTGCTTCTTACCTGCTTCTGAGTCTTATCTAGTTATTATTCTCCCTGAAATCTTTACCAGTCTCTTATTCTGCTACTTTCTTTTCTCTCCCACCTATCTTAAGTCCCATTTACCTTGGGCCCTCACAAAGTCCTCCACTTTATCACAACCTTTATCAGCTTCACCTTTTCTGCATTGTTAAATATCTCAAAATACAGGTTATAACTGACTTTCTAATTATCAGAGAAAAAACATTTTCTCCACTCTACCTTGTTGACTTCCAGATTTTGTTCCCCTTTTCATTCTTCATTGGTTACCATCATCCCTGTGTTTAGATGTTAAAATCCCAATTATAGTTCAAGTTTTATTTTCAAAGCCATCTCATTTAAGAAGTTCTGATTTTCCAGTTGAGTCTGTATTTTTACGTCTTTAAAACTCCTTAATGTTTTACATACATCATTTGTTTTGTATCAGAAAAGTTGCATGACGCACTGGAAGTAAGTGAAGGTTCTTAGCTATCTGCGTTTGAATATAGGCTCCACTACTGAGTAATTGTGTGATATTGAGCAAGTTTCTCATATATAAAATGAAATGATAAGACAGTTGTGAAAATTAAAGTAATAAAGTAAAAAATATTAAAACCTTCCTGGCACATATAAGTTACTTAATAATACTAGCTATTGCTCTTCTTAGTGCTGATTTAAAAGTTGTACACTCTTCAATGTCAGATTTAAATATTCTTGAATCCCAAATGATGTCTTCCTCCTATTTGGAAACCCTGCTGTCTCTAGTGTATTGTTTTGCATATAGTAGACAGTAAATACAAGGTTGTTGAATAATATTTTGATTACCAAAGCTGAATTCCATTAGATAGATTTGTAAAAGGAAAATAAAATCAACAGACCCCAGATTCACTATGCCAAAAGGGAAAAGTTAAGTGTGGAAGCTGAATCTCTCTCTCTCTCTCTCTCTCTCTCTCTCTCACACACACACACACACACACACACACACACACACACACACACACACACACTTTCCTTTTGTTGCTTTACTGATAGATAGATAGAGTGGCACATGTCTCTGCAGGTGGCCTCCCTCACCCTAACTATGTATTAATATAGCTGCTTATCTTCAGGGTACAGGACGGGAGAAAACCAGAAATCGTCCCCTGACCCTGTCCGTCCTGAACCAAAAGTATATTTGACTTCTTCCTCTACTCAATATTGACTTTGTTGTATGTAAAGTACAGGTGTACTGAACATGAGATGAATATATAATTGTTTCCTCCACCTCCTTCTTTTTGCGTGCAACATGTGGACTCAATGAGCCTAATCAAACTCTCATAACAATGTGATCAGACACTCCATCTTTTTTTTCTTTCCCTTTTCCCCGCCTGCCCACTTTTTCCCCTTTAAATATCAAAGCCCTCAAAGTCCTCTTTGGAAAAAGTATTGGCTAAAGATCCTACTGTGGCTTGTCTTTTTTGTTTGTTTGTTTTGTTTTTTCCGGGGCACATCCTCAACCTTAGCAAAAAAGAAAAAATAAATAAATAAAAAGAAAACCTCTAAATCAATTGAAATGAACCTCTGTCATTTTCTTTGGTTTTACAGATTATAGGAAGAGAAGGAAATTACATTGGAACTAGGTCATTCTATATCTGATAGTAATCAAACACTACAATATTAAAAATTATTGCAACTGTGGTTCCTGTTATATTAATGACGTGCATGTTATCTGAATTAGCTCCCAGACCAGTTTTGTTAGACACCTACGGTTCAAAGTTAGGGCCAATGGAAAGGAAGAGCTGCCCATTAACCAGTCCATGTAACATTACTTCTCAACATTGATTGACATCACTTACAAGTCACAATGTCATATAAGGGGTTTGGTGGAGCCTGTTGAGCAGGAGAAATACTTTAAGAAATCTTTAGAATATGCTGGTTGTTGAAGACTTTATAACATCTTGAATAATGCTAAGAAAAACTGGCCAGAGATGAGATGAATTATTTTGAGAAAACACTGTGCAGCTTAAGGAGCCAAGGGGCTCCTATAGGCAACCCAGAAATAAGGAGTCCAACCAATACAATATCTTTGTGCTCCACATTAAAAAAAAAAAACAAACTGATCTCTTTTGGATGTTTATTACTTTGAAAATTAATATAGGAATGATAATGAAACCTAGAAGATAAATATATCTTCGTTATTTTGAGGAGAAGAGACATCACCCAATTCCTTGGATTTACTGTTATTTGCTATTCCCACATTTTGCACTTAAAGTATTTAAAATATTTTCACGTTTCTCTATAAAGGCCTTAATTATGATAGAAGGTAAAAGACAAGTCAAGTTATTCAACAATATTAGGTTTGAAACTAAAGCACTTTTTAGATAGAAACAAAAGTAGCATGGAACTTATAAATAAAACTGCTAAAAGTATCCAGATACTTTTTTATTACTAAGAAAATTCTTGCTTCCAACTTCTTCATTGATTGATCATACATGTGTTCAGTTATAACTTTTCTTCTAAATATACTTTCATCTTAATTTATTAAGTTGGAAGTTTGTCATTTAAAAATTATCTTAGTAAAATATTACTATTTTCATGAGGTTTTCTTAACCTCATGAAGTAGTGCATGGTCTTCCAGACCTAAAATCGTTTTAAATAATGATGAAGCATACCCAGGAATATTTATTCATTTATATCTGAAATAAATGTTTAAAAAGAAATTGTTGAGAAGCAATGTGATTTTTTAAATTACATTTGAAAGCTAAGATTTATTAATTTATTAAAATTAATAATTAAAATTTATTAAATTATTTATTTAAATTAATAAATTAATTTTATTTTAATTTATTAAAATTAATTGAAAGCTAAGATTTATTAAGCTTTATAGCTGAGATTTATTAAAATGTATTTAATGGCACATCAATTGGTATAACATGCAATTCAGAAAAAAAGTAGTTTTATGGTGATTTAGAACAGTGACATTCTTGTGGATTCTGCAGCATTAGGAGCTTTCTGAGGTGGTTAGGGGCTAGGAGTCTCTGTAGGGGTCAGACATGGGAGACAGAATATGTGTTTCTGAAGAAGATAAATTCCAGGTTCTCACTCTCACTATTGCTATTTTTTATTATGTATGTAGATCTTCCACATAAAATTTCATTTAAGAAACATTGGTTTTAAAAGTTTGACAATTACTTCTATACATTATAATTTCATTACCTTGTAGGTTAAATCCTGTATGACAAAAACAACTACTTCTAAAACTACTGTAAAAAAGATTTCTCATATGATTTTTTTATTTCAAGCAATACTGCAGGTACAAGTGCCATAAAACTTGTCTGGGCCCTTAGGGTTTCTTATGATGCTATTTTCCATACATGTTTAAAATGTGGCATCATAATTTTTGAATTAATATTATGGGCTTTTGTGCATTTGGTTACATGATTTGCTTGTATTTTAACCATGAATTCAATGTTAAGTTTTGCTCAGAATTTGCTCAGTGTTTAATCCTAAGTTTTGAGTGGTCACTGTTTTGTTTCTGGTAAGGGAATAAATTTTATCTTTTGAAGGCCAACATAATTTATTTATTGCTTCACTCTTCATGCCTTTTCACATAACGAATATTTCACTTTGGTCAAAAGGAAAATTAGACTTTATCAATGAGTAAGAATGGGAACAGATTGTGCCTAGAGCAATGTGTGCTATTTCAAACACAAAGGTAGCATTCCACAGTTTTAAACTAATTAGAAAGAATGGAAAATGGTTATCAGAACTTCCTAAAATCACTGAGTTTAAGACAGGTACACAAAACCAGTTTATAAAGATGAATCAAGGTTATGGTGTAGTTACGGGAGGGGAAGAAGACTAGGAAGCAAAGAAAGAGAGAATTTGTATTTATTGAATATTTACTGTGTGTGAAAAATGAAGCTAGGTATATTACATATGTTCCTTCTTTCAATCTTCAAAACTATTCATGGATTTGATATAATAATCTCCAATTTATTCGTGAATACCTGAGAGTTAAATAACACATTTAATATCGGGCAGTGATGAAGCTGAGATTTGAAACTAGGATTATTGGATTTCAAATCCCTGGTCTTTCTGGTGTTCCCTTTACATCGCAAGACTGGTCTACTTCTGCCTTAGAGTTGACCTCCTAACTACTGCCCAAGCACAAGGTTTTCTCACTGATCATGGTCTGAACATTACACTCCGTTCTCCATCAATTCAGTCCTCTTGTTGCCAATCCCCTTGTGGCTCTTGCTCCTCCTTTGCAGATCGTCGCACTCTTCAGACTCTCAGCACTCTTCACCTCACTTTTAGCTTAGTTTCCGCTTAATCCCAGTTTGGCTTTAACTTTTGACTACACAGCTTCAAACTACATTGATTTAATAAGGCTCTCAATTTAAAGCCATATCAGAGGCCAACTTTGATAAACTCCCTCCTCCAAGAAAGTCATATCTCCTTAGCTTACACAAGACTCCAAAAATGGAGAACACACGCAGACACGTCATCTCATAGTAATCCATGCTCCTGCAAGGAAGCATTTAGGTCCAGGATTTGAGGATCTATTTGGATGAGAATTAGAGGAGCTGGCTGAGAGGTCCAAACAAGTAGACTGTTTGATGCTGACAATTGGCCTCCAAATGAAACTCTCAGAGGCCTGCAGAGCCAAAAATAAAACCTTTTCCTAACCTAAATCATCTATCAGATAGGGCAAAGGGTCACCCAAAGGGGAAGATGGTTGAGCAGTATTAACATGAAGTGAGCATCATTCGTTGGGGCTGAGAGACTATTGGGGAATGAAAGGCAAACAACTCAGAATATTTCCTATCCAGAGCTGAACAGAAAAGGCCAGAATGATGAGTAAGCCAACTGAAAAGCTATAGTGTCTGGTTCTATAGAAAACTGAGGATGTAGGGGCACAGTTTCTTTGTGATAGGACAATAGAATATAATGCATTGAGGAAGAAGGGATTTCTCCTTGCTTTTAAAACCATGTGAAACAAAACAATCAAGAGGCTTTTTTCTTTTTTTTCCCAAGGAAATATAGATCAAAGACGCAAGAAAGCAAGCCCATGCTTAGAGGTTTGTTGCACCTGGATTCCATTAACAACCTGGAGAATTCTAGTATATGGAGTTTCCCAAAAGACTCTTCTCTTTTGTGGATTAAATCAAGACTTAGTGAGGGAAGATGGATTTCTCTAGGCCATGCTAGAATGGCCTGAGGAAGAATTTTTAAATTCTTTCCTTTCCTGGATGGCGAACCAGGCCCTATGTCTTGTACTTTTTTGCATATTCTCTAGTACCTGGCTCTGTACATGGAACATTATTGTGCACCATTAATATTCTTTAAGTGAATGAATGAAGGGATGTTAAATGGGATGATATATGGGAAAGCACTGAAGAGGATGGGAGTTAAATGCATGAGCTTGGAGCCAACTGGATTCAAATTCTGACTACCCCATTTACTAATTGTGTGACTTTGGGCAAGTCATTTAATATTTCTGTGCCTGTTTTTCTTCCTTTGTATAACAGAAATAATCGGATCACCATTTCCTAAGAATGTTGTGGGTCTTAAATATGCACAAAATATTTAAAACTGTGCCTGGTCTATGCTAAGAATTCAATAAAGTTTAGCCATTTTGAACTTTGAAACTATTAACTAACTTGGAAACTATAAACCATACAAGGTTTTTACTGTTTTTAAAATCACTAAGATTGGATTAAAGACTAATGCAACACAGTAAACCCTTGACATTCAAGAGTTTAATACTCAAATTTGACTTTTTATTATTATTTCTAAAGGTTATAATTTAGAGTATTTGTAATTTTACTTAGGCATAAACTTGAATTGCTGGGACTTTTAGGTTTGTATGCAAGATCAATCTTCATTCTGGAGAGTGTTCCCAAATGTTGGCCATTTAACACCTGGCATTTCTTATCATTACATATGCAGTATCTGTTTTACTAATAAGCACTACAAGGACAAGAAGTATGCGTATTTTATTTCCAGAGCCTAATAAAGAATTGGAAAAATTGTTAAAAATGATGGTGCATTTACTATGTGCCAACTACTATGCTGAGTTTATATATACATAAAGTAATATCCTAATTCAAGTCTTACAATAGCCATTTGAAGTTGGCACTATTACTGTAACAGATTATTTTTCTGAAATATTTGCCCTCTTAACCCCACCTCCATCCATGTGTCAAAAGTACTCCCCTACCTCTTGATTCTGGTTTTGGCCATATGATTTGCTTGGGCCAATGGGATGTAGGCAGATATGATGCAAGCAAGAGACTCAAGAAGTACTTGCATGGATGGGCTTGCTTTCTTGTGCATTTGACAGCACTGGGAAAATTAATGCTTGGGATAGTCACAGCTCTCAGGGGAAGGAAAGAGCCTTGTAAGGCAGAGCTAAGCCCACAGATAAAACCAGTGTAGATTAGGCTGCCTCCAGCCAAATTCTGGACTCACGAGTAAACCCACCTAAAAGCAGAGCTTCCCAGCTCT